GATAAAGTGAATTGATGAGAATAGGCAATTAGACACCAAGAGAGACATGTTTGAGTGGTCACATTTTCAGGCTTCTTAAAGGTGTCTCCTCATCTGACCAAATTGACCTCTCAGTATACCACAGCATGGGGTCATTTTAGTCTCTTCAAAAGGAGAATTTGATATTGACCTAATTGACCTCTCAAAAGAAAACGCAACAGAAACGATTATGGACTCATCTTATTAATTTTTAAAGGATAATTTGTTTATTTTTGGACTAAGCTGACTTTTTTTAGTAATTTTTTTTTATCTATTTCCAAGTATGTCAATTAATTAAATCTCGTGGATTTAATTGTTTACATATTAAATACAATAATTATGAAAATAATGGTAATAAAGCACAAGAAATTGGCCACTTGAGTTCTTTAACCATGTTGTTCAAACCTTTGTGTAACAAATCTATTGGCATCAGTTTTCACAGTGTAAGACAAAAAAAATCTAACTCACATATTTATAAATTTATAAATAATGAAATAAATGAATGGACATTAATATGCAAAAAAAAAAAAAAAAAAAAAAAACATGAACAAAAAGAAGACTACGATAAAGACAATACTATTTATGATAAGTTGTTATTTTTCGTTACTCTATGAGTAGCAACAATCACTATTTTTAGATAATATTCAGTTATAACGAGTAACAATATGTAATATAGTATTATAGTTATGTAAGTAGTTTCAATTTTAACGAGACTTTGCTCATACATATCATGAAGTAAACTAAATTAATCTATTTCAACTGAAAATAATAGTCTGTTAAAATGGCCAACATACAAAAAGAATGAGATCGGGTCATTTTAAAAGTTTGTATGCATAAAAACAAATGGTAACTTGAACTAAAATAGATTATTTCAATTGACTATGATACATCAACAACCACATGATCTTAATGCCAAGTATGACAAGAATAGAACATGGCTTGTCTAAACATGCTTAATGTAGGGTCCTATAGTCATTTGAAAAAGTCGGATAATCATTAAGATTACATATTTACTAAAACAAACATTAGACAAACCACATTGGTTGTGCAAAACAAGTTTTTCATGCTTGTTTTAAGCTATCAAATAGAAAATGGCACAAAAAACATATCAAGCCATATAACAATCCATGCATTCATGGTGTTTATCTGACATCTTAAAAGAGTCATATTAAGATATTAAGATCAATTTTGCTGTAAAATCAAATAAAACAAAAGGGAATGAAAGAGATACATACATAGGTAACATGTTGCAAGAAGGAGTGTTAATGTGAAAGACATAGATCAAGACTTGGCCTTTGAATTATGTGTGTGTTTGGTGAAAGACAAATAATGAGAGTTAAATGCACATCAAGAATCAAGAGATTTCTTCAAACCAAATTTTCCTCCTTTTCTTTTACTTTTTCCTATTTGTTTTTAATTTTATTTAAATGCACATGAGGAATCAAAGAGTTTCTTCAAGGCTCTGCTTAAGCACATTCTTATTTAAATAACAAAAAACTACTTCAAAAATTATTCAAGTAATCTGGTTTTGTTGTTGATATCTAATCTTTTATTATGTTATACGTTTTCAGTATAGTTATTTTACAGACTGATTTTGAATGATAATAAATCAGAAATAAGCTTAGAACATATATTTTGAGCACATTACTAATTACTTGCAAAGGGTTAAAAGACCTATCCTACTATACTATCATATATACTTGGGTCCCTATCACAAGCAGAGTTTAAAGTGGTAAATATACTCTAAAATATTATAAATTTTTATATATATCTTTCGTTTTTTTTTTTAATTTTTTTTGGAATTGTTACATTTCTATGAGCAACACTTGCAAAATCTTTCACGTCTCTTGCAAGTGAAATGACTATCTTCTTCCAAATAATGTAAATAAATTTAATTAACTAATAAAAAATTGAAATATTCAATGGTTATACAAATTCCATCCATTAAATTAAAGAATAAAACGGATAGTTACATCTTATTATTTATATAAAACAACTTGTCTATCTAGTTTAGCTTGTGTAAAGTTCTATATTTTAAAA